TTCGGGAATGTGGGACAGGGGAGGCAGGAATTCGGGAATGCGGGTCAGGGAATTCAGGAATTGCACTGGGCCGGCTGGGAATTCGGGAATGCGGGTCAGGGGAGGCAGGGATTGCCCCGTGAGCCAGAGAAGGACAGGCTGAGGAGAGGGCATCGCTCTGAGCTCCAATGTCACCTCTGTCCCCTCCAAGGGCAACGCTGCCAGGGCTCGGCACAGGGCTGCTGCCATGGGCTCTGTGTGTTGATCCACGAGATTCTGGGAACATCAGGCAAAGCCAGCACGAGGCTGAGGCTGCTGCAGGTGCCAGGCAAGACAGCCCTGAGCATTTCCAGCTGCAGGAACTGCAATTTTGGCTTCTTTTCTCCATGAGAGATTACTGCAGGACTGGAGGTTTTGCCCAGAGTCTGCTGGAAGTGAGAACCTCGGCTTTATTCACAGAATCCCAGAATCACTGAGGCTGGAAAAGCCCTCCAAGGTCATTGATTCCAACCTGGTCCCAACCCCACCTTGTCCCCAGCCCAGAGCCCTGAGTGCCACCTCCAGGGGACTCCAAATCTCCTGGGCAGCCCCTGCCAAGGCCTGAGCACCCTTTCCATAAGGAAATTCCTGCTGCTGTCCAGCCTGACATTTTTGCTGGGTACTGCAGCTCTGGGGTTGTTGTTTGCAGATAGGCTGGAGGCAGAGGCAGTGTGGAAGATGTGCTGCTGCCCTGGGCATCCCGGGGAGGATGGGCAGGGCTGAAAGGGATTTTTCCCTGTGAAATAGGGCTGTGGTGCTGAGGCTGTGTCCCAGCTCCACCTCTGCATCAGGAGTGATGCTCGGGGAGCAGTGCAGAAGCAGATCAGGTGTGAGAAGACAACAGCTGGCATGGCAAGGACAGCAGGGATTCCTTATTCCTCCTCCTGAGGTTTTTCCAAGCCCAGAGCCCAGCTGGCCCTTTGGCTAAATCCCCCCCATGCTTTTCTCACCTTTCACAATCCTGCTCTTCCTCTCCTGCCACTGCCGTGTTCCCCTGGGCTGCAGTGCCAAGGACAGGGAGCCAAGGAGAGCCAGCACACCCTGCAGGAGCCTGGCTGGGGCTCAGTCCCACCCAGCCTCAGGTCCCCATTCCTCACCTCAGAACAGGCAGAGGGCAGGAGGATGGGGCTGAGCATGTGCCCAGGTGTGTGGCTGGCTGAGTTCCCAGCAGAGCAGCAAGAGGAACTCCTGGGAACTCCTCCATCTCCCACAGCTGTTGCAGGGACCGTGCTCAGCTCTGCTCCAACAGAACCTTGTGGAGAGGGGCTGTGCCCTGGAGAACTGCAGCCTGGGGAGCTCTTGCACTGCTGCCTGAGTGTGGAAGGACTTTTGGTGTCTGGGGCTGCTCTTTCTCCAGCTCCAGAGGGTCTGTGGATCACATGGACAACTTGATGTCACCCTAAAGCAACAGAGAAGCCACCTGTGAAGGGCGCCTTCCTCTGTGCATGTCACAAGGTGTTCTGAAATACATAAAACATTCTCAGAGTGGGGAAGATCACCGAGAGCTTTACCAGAACTGACTTGAGAAGCTGTTTCAAAGCACTCCGAAAGGAGCTGCAAATAGCTGGCCGTGTTTGCTGTTCCCTGGCAGGAGTGGGTGGTGGTGTCTTCTGCAGTGCTCCCGAGGAGCTGCTGGGAATAAGCACGCTGCTGCAGGGTGCTTGGGACGGCAGCACTGGAAAGGGAAGATGGGCTTCAGGCTGAGCGTGCCAGCAGCCCTTCAGCTCAGGTGGGAGCACTCCTTCCCTTTGGCGTGGATGGAAATCTGCTGCTCGTGGCTGGGTCAGCCCCCAGACCAGGATGGTGATGCACTGGAGAATAGAAAACCAGGAGGGAACCTCGCTTCAAATGCAGGTTCAGGATCTTGTGGCAGGGCCCTGGGGCTGTTCCCCTTCCCAGGGAGGTGGGCAAGACCGAGGGGGTTTTCCTGAGCTGAGTCCCCTGAAGGAGGAGGGGGCCGGGGAAGTTCCCAAAGCTGCTGACAGCTCCTGGTGTCCCCTGTCGCTGGGGTTTCCCTGGCAGTCCTGTCCAGGTGTTCTGCCTGCAGCAGGTCCCGAAGTGGACTCTGATCACTCAGGAACTTGGAGAGTCCTGCAACATGTCCAGAACATCTCCCAGCGTGTTTCCCACCCCACATGGATGGTGAGCAGCCTGCCAGCCTCGCAGCTCCTGTCAAACGCAGCTCCCCACTCACTCCCGATAACAACAGCCTGAAAAAAAATAACAAAACCCGAAAGAAAATGGATTTTCCCCCTTCCTTTTTCAGGAATTCTGGCAAGATGTCAAAATGCTCCGCTGCCACTCAGAGCGGAGAGCGTTGCCCAGCTCTTCCCCGTACTCGTCTGCCGGGCCTGGAGCGATTGCAGAGCTTATTTTCGGCAGCTGAAGCGGCAGCAGGAGCGGGAGGGGAGGGCTGGGCTATCAGTCACCGGGAGATGCTGCTCACTCCCACGGAGGTGTTTACAGGAGGGGCGTGAGTGTGAGCTGGAGCCAGCTGCCATTAGCATTGCAGATCGGGCACTTGTTAGCGGAGTGCTGCGCCCCTGCTTTACAATTTGCTAATAATAAAGCATTTGTTCCCGGCAAACAAACGCCCAGATTTATGTCTTGCTCACAAAGGACTCCGATAGATATATTGATACCTTGTGAAGCTGCAGCGGGGAGAGGGATTGAAAAGCTGCTGTTTGCTTGACTCCATCCAGCTCCTCTATTGATGACTGGGAGGCATTTATTTCACCGAGGATAGAGCACTCAGAGCTGCGAACCCTCTGTTGCCAATAGTGCCATATTTAAGGTTATTATATCACCATAAAACAGCTTTATGGGGCCGTGAATATTGGGGCACGTCGATAGCCAGCACTGCAGCACGGCTGTGCCGCCTGCCTGGCGGGGCTGGCAGAGCGCAGGCAGCCCTGGAGGCCAGGAAACAGGGAAGAGCAGCTTTCAGGGGAGAAACGGGCACGGGAGGAGCTCCTGGAGCTGCCACTGCCCTGCTGTCCACCGCTGGGGACAGCCGGTGTGCAGACCTGTGCTGGCACTGGGGACGCAGGTCCCCAGCACGTCGAGCCAATGCAGGGATGCCCGTGCCCTGGGAATGTGCCAGGCACCAAAAATCAGGGCAGGAGCTGCAGTGCTGCTGCTGTGGGGTCCCAGGGAGGGCTGGAGGGTGCTGTGGTGCTGCCACGGGTGGGACCTGGCACAGCAGCATCCCCTGTTCTCCAGCTTGAAGTGGCACCTTGTCCTGGGCTTGTTCTCCAGAACTCCTCAGCCCCCAGGGGCAGCACAGCACGGAGGGAAGGAGCTCAGGTGTCCACAGGAGAAATCTCTTGGGAAGAGGAGGGGCAGCTCTGGGATGGGGACAGCACCCAGGGAACAGCTGGAGCTGGGCCAGGGCAGCTCAGGCCAGAGATCAGGAAAGGTTCTTCCCCCAGAGGTGCTGGCACTGCCCAGGGAATGGGCACGGCCCCGAGGCTGCCAGAGCTCCAGGAGCCTTTGGACACCAGGGATGGACAGGGTGGGGTTGTGGGGGTCTGGGCAGGGCAGGGGCTGGGCTGGGTGATCCTGTGGGTCCCTTCCAGCTCAGGATATTCTGTGATTCTTCCGTGGGAGGAGCTGCAGCCCCAGGAAGGGCAGACAAGCCCTGCTGGGATCCCCCTGGAGGAGTTGTACCTCCCACAGCCCGAGCACCCCGTGGCGCCGGGCTGGCCTTCCCACCCCATTCCCGTTCACCCGCTGCATCTGCCCCAGGTGAGCCCTCCTCCCTGCTGATCCATCCAGCCTGGGGTGAGCAGCACAGCCCTGTAACCGCTCCAGAACAGGCTCTCCCTGTCAGCTCCCATCCTCTCTTACATTTTAGATGCTAAATAATGCACTAATGGAAAAGGAAACCTTAGCCAGGGCAGAGAGATTAAGATGCAGAGCAACCACAGCTTTTAGCTTTCATTTTCTGACTCCAAATGCTGCATTTCTTAGCTTTATTTCTATGCATTTTGTTGTTGGTGGGTTTTTCTTCAAGGGCTTTCCAAGAAGAGGAAACAGATTTTGACTGCAGCACTTGAACTTTTGTTACCAGTGTTCTCCTCGCAATAAATTTTGGATTTGATGGGAAGCCACTGGTTCTAAGAAATCACAAACACAGGAAACAAAACACAGAGAAGACGGAGAGGTGCCTTCAGCCTTTTGACAAGACTCTGTCAAGAAGCTCTAACTCTTGGATTGTATTTTAGCCTATCTTTCTGCTCACCACTGTGTTCACCTTTGAGGGGGAGTGGCCTTTCTCTTTACAACCTGAGAGAGTTTTATTCTGACTATTAAATTAGTAATTAGCACTTCATTTAGCTGAGATCTCCAGTGCCCAGACAGTATTGATTTGTCAGAGATAGAAAGATGGAGCCCCTTTCAGCACGGTTTTGGGCACTGAGTCAAGGGGGCTTCTCAGCTATCTAGAGGTGAATTTCCCGTGCAGAGGACGGGCAGGCTGGGACAGAGGGGCCAGGGAAGGTTTGTCACTGCAGGTGTCTCATCCCTGCACTGTTCTGCCCAAATCCCACCTGGCAAAGTGCCCCCGGGCAGGACACAGGAGCTGGAGGCTCCCAAGGCTGCAGGGGATGGCCCATTCCCCGCAAGGCACAGTGCCCCGTGTCCTGCTCTGCCAATCCCCACTGACAGACCATTCCCAGAGTCCTTGGGATGTAAAAACCCTTTCCTGCAAGGCTCTGCTGCCTAAGGGGCACTCCAGGCTCAGGGCTCACCTCAGCAGTTGCCAAAGCCACCTGTGTGTTTAAACAAGAGCTTGTGGTTCTCAGCTGGGTCTGGAGAGAGAACGAGTGCAGGAGCTTGGCCAAGGAAAGCCAGGGCAAGGTGGAGTCCCCATCCCTGGAAATGGGGAAGAATGACAGTGGCAATCGGGACAGGGTTTAGTGACCATGGTGGGCTAGACTTGATCTTGGAGGCCTTTTCCAAGTTAGTGATTCCATGGACGTAAGGAAGGACCTCACGGGTGTTTTGTGTGTCATATTCGCTCCTCTTTCACCTGAAGTTTAAACCAGAGCCTAACTCAGCACCACCCCAAAGCTGAGTCCAATCCCAAGCGTTCAGCAAATGTTTTATTTGAAGCAGCCATTGATGAACTGATAAAGCATCGCTGAGGAAACCTGGCAAACTCAGGGGAAGAGATGACAGAGACCAGGGCAGAGGCAGGGGGGCACAAAGCTCCACTGGGCATCTGCAAACCAGCACAGGAGAGCTCCTGTCACAGTGACAGGGAATGGGCACGGCCCCGAGGCTGCCAGAGCTCCAGGAGCCTTTGGGCAGCGCTGCCAGGGATGGACAGGGTGGGGTTGTTGGGGTCTGGGCAGGGACAGGGGCTGGGCTGGTTGATCCTGTGGGTCCTTGCAGGAAGGACATTCTGTGTGAGATTCTGTAACCTGACTCTGAAATGAATTCACACAGTCACAGAATCTCCTGAGCTGGAAGGGACCCACAGGATCATCCAGTGCCCCCTGCTCTGCCCAGACCCCCACAACCCCACCCTGTCCATCCCTGTGTCCAAAGGCTCCTGGAGCTCTGGCAGCCTCGGGGCCGTGCCCATTCCCTGGGCAGTGCCAGCACCTCTGGGGGAAGAGCCCCAAAGCACCTGGGGCACACCTGGAATCCAAGCCCGCTGGAGGGGAGCAAGGGCATGGAAATGCTGGAGGCTCAGCAGGAGGCTCTGCTGGAGTTTGAACGCAGGAAGGAGGATGCTGTGGCCTGCCAGGGCTGCCCAGCCTGGCAGGAGCAGCACATCAGCCTGCACAGCTGTGCAGGGGATTAGCAGCTCCGAGAGGCTTTGCCCACAGCTGTGCAGCACAAGGGCAAACATATGTAAAGAAAAAGCCTTTAGAAATGATCTTAACCTAATCTGGGGCTGCAGACTCTCTACACTTACCCACAATCACACATCACAGCAGGCAAGCAAAGGGTGTTCCCAGGCTCTCTGCTGCTCAGGGGCTGGCTGGGGTGCTGTCCAGTGCCACAGCCACGTCCTCTTGTGTCACAGGCCCTGGCTGTTGTCACACTGGGCATCTGTGTGTCACCTGCAGCATCACCCACCCCTGGCACTGCCCAAGTGCAGCTTAGTGAGGATCCAAATGGCACAAATTTATAAGATGCCATCTTGAGATAAAGCCTGGAGACATTTAAGGGATTAAGGGACTTAATTTATCTGCAACAGCCGATGATCTTTGCATGGCAGAGCAGTTCTCTTGGTCCAGTGGAGTGCAGGGGGATGAGAGACTGCTCTGGGCACTCCAGGTTTGTGGGGTTTTTTAATTTTACAGAATCACAGAAAAATTTGGGTGGGAAGGGACCATAAACTCCATCCAGTGCCACCCCTGCCATGAGCAGGGACACCTTCCACTGTCCCAGGTTGCTCCCAGCCCCAGTGTCCAGCCTGGCCTTGGGCACTGCCAGGGATCCAGGGGCAGCCACAGCTGCTCTGTGCCAGCGCCTCATCACCCTTCTCCCATCAGAGGAGCAGATCCCAGCAGTGCCCAGCTCCCAGTTCCTGCACCGGGCAGGTGTCCAGGGTTTCAAGCTTTGCTCCACACACCAACCTCCCCCAAAAATTTTAGGTGAGCTGCAGGTGACTTCCTGTGACTCCAGTGTCTGGAGCTGTCCCAATCGCAGCCCTGTTCCTGCTGTGTGCTCTGGGTGACCTCCCATGGGCTGTGTGTTCCCAGAGCCAGCTGATCCTCCTCTCCTCCTGCTCAGGATGTGCCAGCTGGTCAGACTCAGGGTGCAGGATGGACTGGCAGGGCAGGGCTGAGACCTGGCAAAGTGGGGGAGCCCAGCAAGGAAAAGCAGGATGGTCTCCCAGCTGGGAACCCAGGCTCACGAGGTGTCCCTGAGGGGCAGGATGGAAAATTCAGATATCTGAGTCACTGCTGCTGGCAGTAATAGCAGCAGGAATTGTTATAACACATTTCTAGATCCAGGTGTACAGGGGGTTTCTGTTTTGTACATGTGGGTCAGAAGTTTTAAGATGGAGGGATTTTTGGCCAGTCCTGTCCTTCCTCTTTCTTCTTCCTTACCTCCATGTTCCTAATGATATTAGCACCTACAGATTAGTTTAAAGTAGAAAAACACCATTTAATATAAGTAATAAGTATTGGGAAAAAAACCTATAAACATTTATCACATAATATACCATATAAAAAATAGCAGCAGCCAGAGGCGAGGAAAAAAAAAGAAGTCAAGGGACAGAGAAAATGTCAGGGTGTGTGTGTGCCTTTACCTGAGCTGCTAACCAAACCACAGCAGCCCGAGAAGACAATCTTTTAGATAGTTTACAATAAACTGCCTTAAGACCAAACAAGAAACTACTAAGCTTTTCTTTAGAAACACAAATTTAAAAAGAGATTATTAACTGAACCAAATTTGCAAACACATGCCCAGTCCCCATCTCCTGCCCTTGGGGGGCTGTGGCAAGCACATTTCTCTCCCCCTCAGGATTTTTCATAGAGGTGCACAGAGAGAAATAAAAGAGAAAACAATTTCTATTTCTGTTCCTTGTTTTCCTACGTGGAATGTGTTTGGA